TCTGACCCGTTTTCAAAAAGTACCGTTTACAGTCACCTGAAACGCCGATATGACAAAAAACTTTAGCGTTTCCTCCTGAATTCGTTTCCATGGTGACGGGTTGATCCCGCCTTCAGACAGACTTTGCAGCGGGGAGTGGTTTACTCTTCATCTGAAACTGTGAGGTCGTACCAATTCAACACGACTGACTCGCTCTTGTCCTATTTAACCACGAAATTATCGCCTTCTTTGCAAAAGCCATGTTTGTTTACACTGGTGTGTGTGGGAACTGGGGGGCACTTCTGCAGGAAGAGGGAGGAGCCTATGGAGGCGCGAGACACGATAGAGAGGAAAATCGATTTGAAGATTTTAATTTTTTTTACATTGTCATAATCAAATAATCTGATTACGATATCGAATCTATTAATCATGCAGCCGTACATGCATTCAGTCTGATGTCTAACCTGCTCTGGAAGTGAAACATCAGGTAGATACAGGTGTGGTGGGCGGGGCTTAAAGACTTCTCTGTCTAACATTGTGTATCAAAGCTGCACAGTCATGATTTAGAGGACCTGACCTTATCTTGCGCTTCATACGACTCCTCAGAATCATTCATGGAGGATTCAGACAATATTTACTGCAAAGGTTTACAGAAAAGGATCACGGCGTGACCAGACTGAGAACCGGACCAGGACCGTTTTAAACACCCGTGTAAAAAGACTTAAGTCAGTGCCTCCAAAGTTTTGATAGAAGCGACTTAGCGAAGCTTTGATGTACAATCTTGAATTTGGATCAGGATATAAGGAGGCAAACATCAGAAAGTGGATGAGAGGTTTTAACAAGTGATGAATAAAACATCAAAGTCCTGTCGAAAAAAGAGAAAGAGGCCTCAGATGATCTGTTGTTCGGTGTCCAGTTAACCTCGGCGCCGCGCTGTGATCCGCGGACGTGCCGGAGACACAAACTGACAGCGTGAGGACGGAGGGCTCGCATATCTGCTGGCTAAAAGTCTGTTTTTCTGCCTTTTAAAGCCTAAAATGCAGAAGAAAGAGAATTCGGCGCAGCAGTCGGAGGGGAAATTCCCCGGGCGGGAGGAAAGCAGCATGTGGTTAAAAGCAGCATGTCTGCCTCACTTTGCCCTCTTGTGAGAACAATTTCATCAACAGAAACTCAACGAGACCTCTCGGAAAATAAATCCAGCCCGGGTAATGAAGGAAGCGGTATGCAGCGGGCGCAGGCAGAGAACATTTTGGACTTTTAAATCTCCATTATTTACACCCGGCCTGCCTTTGATATCTGCTGAAATTCTCCCGTGTCCACCGACCGGCCGAGCCCGTCTGAAGGTAAACCCGTCGAACCACGGGGGGAACGACACCGGCTTAACGCGATGATGTCAAGTCACTGAAACATTTTCATCATCCAGCAACAGAGAGGGAATGTTTTCAATTAATTCTTTTCATGATTTAGTAATTCCAATTCCTGTGAATTTAAAGGGATCCGAGGAGATGTCTGTCCTTCCTCCTCCTCCTCCTCCTCGTTTTTTTGTTTTCCATTTCTGCGGCCATTATTTTCCTCACACTCTGAGATGTCTCTTTGCTTCAGTGTCATCATGTTAAGGTCTTTTTTTTCTCTCTCTCTGGCAGTTTCAGACCTACAATTCAGGGCACTTGTGATTCTCTGCTCCTTCTGTCTGGCAATCCTATCACCCCGACCATCTACCTCTCCAGCAGCCACTCCATTCTCTGCTTATGTTTGTTTAATACTCGGTGGAGTTGTCTGCCCGGGATTGGGTGTCTGAGGTGTGATGCTGAGAGATTTCCAATTGATGGGATGGAGAGGATGGGAAGGAGCGAGAGGGGGTTATAGAATTGGAGGAGAAAAGAGAAGAGGCCGAGTCGATGGGCGAGCAAAGTGTTTTGGTCCAGAAAGCATCGGGGGCGGAGTATTTACCGCCGAGAGAAACGGCCAAAGTCGAATGGAAACTGAAAAGACTTCAGTGGAGAGCAGGGAATTCATTTTTCATGAGAAATTGCAGAGTTTTGCAGCAGCGTATTGAGCTGCGGCACTTAAACCCTTTTTACTACAAAAGGCATTAAAATGATGAGCTGAACTCTGTTTGGATAACATCAAATCCTGTCGCTGCTGCTTTCAGCCGTCATGGAGGTTTTTTTATTTTATTTTTAGTAGATCTACTTAATTTGAATGGATAGACTCACATTCAGGGATCAAACCATGTTGGTGTCAAAAGGTCAGTGAACCAGTCCTGACAGAGAAACAGAGCAACAGGCCTGAAAGAGGCAGGGCGAGTTAGCAAACAAGACCCACAGCTGGAAATAAGAGCTGAATTCATGACACCTTCATGATAGTGGATATATGATGTGCAGAATAATACAGTTTAATATCAGACATGACCAGAAATCCACGTCACAACCCAGTGTTTGTTTTTAATTCATGAATTTAAACAACATGCAGCTGGCTAAGACGACCCTGTTTATAAGATCAGCACGTGAAAACATTAATATTTATAAACACATGCATATATATGTGTGTGTGTGTGTGTGTGTATATATATATGTATATACACATATACATATGATTTAATCATGATGATTTAATCATTTATATATCACTTTTCATATACAACCATGTAGCACAAAGTGCTTTACACAGAAAAAGGAATAAAAGAAACAAAGAAAGCCCCAAATCTACCCCAGCCCAACCCTTTATTCTCACCACACCATCTAAACGATCTAAACAGAAACAGGATTAAAATGCATGAATTTAAAAAGGGCTTGATTTTGTGGAAACAGAGGAAACGTGATTTTAAAACTCAAGTTTAGGAAACACTGGAGGTTTAAAATCTAACAACAAAGTAACATAGAATGAAATTTAAGAAATAATAAATACTAATTATGACCTACTCTGTCATAATAAGTAGTATTAGTGCTGGACCATCAGTCAGTATAAATGTGGTCTTATCTAGTTTCATTTGTGTATTTAATTAAACCTGTGACGTCTACGTATATAGTTCATCTGTAGTTATAGAATAAACTCATTTGTGACATAAGGTATAATAATAATAAACAAACTCAGAAGACTCTAGAACAGGTAGAAACCAACTGATGTCAAAATTCAAATTCAGGAGACTCAGATAAAGTTACTTAAAATTATTGTGTTGGAAAATTAAAACAACGAAATAAATAATCACAACAACCACGCTCTTTTTCAATAAAATACTGTTGTTGTTTTTTTCTCTAAAACACTGTTTTTATGTCCGGTCCACAAACAAAAGAAAAACTAAATCTGGAGTCTTTGGAGTCTTTTTGTTTGTTTGATTCTTTTAAAAAGTCAATTCATAAATATTTTAATGGGAAACTTCAGTTGGTCCTACCTGATCATTAAGGCCACAGGTGATTATGATGGTGATGATGATGATGATGATGATGATGATGGGTGAGGAGAAACGTTTAGATTGTTGAAGGTGAATCCTGGATTAGGTCAGAACAAACGTTTAAACATCTTGATTTTTATAAAGATATTTTATTGTTATTTCCATGTAAACTTAACATAAACTTAAATGTATGAACACATCTGCGCCATTTTAACAAAAAAACTTTAAAACCAAACTCCGTGACATGACTCAGTCATTATAATCTACAGGTAGATTATCTCACTCACCAATCCACGGTCTGTATCATCTGAAATTGTCCGTGCTTCAGTCCGAGCGGTCCTTCTGGTTATTTAAGAAGGAGTTTAATTCATTAAAACCTTTTAAATGATGTTTCTGTGGTTATTTTAATAAAGTTTAACTCTGTTCAGTCATATATTCAGCGTCTCCCTCCCGCCTGTCTCCTACTTCCTGTTTACAATCACTGCATGTGTGCTACCATTGGCTGGGAGCGCTCGCGCGAGATTTGAAACGTGATTAAACGTGATTTGACCAAATTCCGCTGATATCATGGAATCTGATTTAAAGTGTCACAATTTGATTACATTTAAAAACATATTTACAATAAATTATTTCAACACAACATTATCTATTGTATAGATTATTCTTATTATTTTAACTTTTTGTTTCTTTCTCTGACCCGAGTTACATGTAGACCTACGTATTCTTTTCAAATAGCACAAAATAAATCCTAACTTGAGCTAAACCACGTTTGTTTCAGTCTTTACAGGAAACCTGAAAAGTTATTAAAGGTTGGTTGTAGTTTGTGAGCGGCTGGTGTTTGAGGTTGATGCCAGATGCCTGAGGATGGAGCTGCAATAAAAAACAAGAAGAAACTTTTGCATAAACTGCTCAGGCTGTGTGTCAATAAAAATCGATTAAATGTAAAGTTACAACAAACAGAAATAAGAGAGATTAATCTGTGACAGTGCTGCATACACGTCAGTGATTTTCTGTGCGTGGAGGTGAAAAAGAGTAAAGTTTTTAGGACTTTCTAAAGACTCAAACAAAAAATTTTGAACCTAAATTTCCTGAATTCTGCTAAAATGACCCACAAATGATCATTTACTCTGAATAAATAAGGAGCAGCGATCGAGTCTCTCAGGAGGTCCAAATATCTCCAGACTTCAGATAAGTTCACACTCAGTCAGTGCGTTTACATCATAGACTGTACATAGAACGGACGCCGTCTGCCTCCTCGCTGGGTGAAGCCACTCCAAGAACAGCACCCTCTGGTGACTGGCTGCAGTATAGGTCATAAACCCCGCCTCCTTATGGAGCTGTGGACAAACTTTATAAATGAATGACACAGAATATAAATGTTTCTCCCCCCTGGTTGTGATGTTGACATGTAGTTACTGTCAGACTGGTTTGTCTTTTTTCTGTACAGCTCGTTTACATGCAGCTGAGAAAATCAAATTTTTGACGTGAACGTGTCCTCCTCCCCAAAAACCAGGGGGCGATATGGGTCTTTTCAGAAGGTTGATTAGTTTCAGAGTCCGTCTCATAGTGGACGAACCACTGACATTGCTATCCTCAGGTTTCGCTGTAAGCGTCTCAGCGGTGGGGTCACATGACTGTGCTCAGCTGTCTGCCCTGGAGGACCTTCACTCAGCCTGTCAACATCTGTCACAACCGAGCACGTCTTCCCCGCCGCGGCTCTACGACGTTTCTGAAGTGCGTTCAAACTTTTACATCAGCGGCCCTCCAGGGGACGAGTGTTACTGGAACTCTGCCTCCCTCTCACCATCCATCACCATCAGGAAAAAGGTGCCATCTGATTGCTCGCCCTGCCACCCTCCTCCTCCTCCTCCTTTCATTAAACCATGGCACTGGTCCAGACACTAATGAGTATCGGCTCTTGTCGTTTTTCTGCAGATGTGGCGTCTTTTCCTCCCTCAGTTGTCATAAAGCGGTGCCGGTTAACAGCGGCGGCACAACTCTTCAAAATGTCAGAGAGGAGACAAACGGCGAGGGAGCCTGTGGTCAGCAGTTTGGAGGGGGAGGAGAGGGGAGGGGGAGCGGCGGTGGTGGATGTTGTAGTAATTTAAGGTCCCGGTGAGGAAATGCAGGTCCTCTCCAAACATGTTGGACGTGCCTCTGTTAATGAGCACTTTAAGTACCCTGCCAGTCCTCTTTAAACATCCCCATCGTGATGCAAAGCGGGTAAAAGAGGCGCCTTTTAAAGGCAGCATATGGCTGCTGAGGATCCTCACTGATGTATTATCACGGGAGTCTTTCCCTCCTCGTCTCTGCTGCAGAGGACGGCCTCTGAAACTCAGCCAGATGTCCGTGTCTTCACAGATACAAGCCCTCCATCCTGATGTCTGCTGCTTTATTGGCAGCAGCAGCGGCGGCGGCGGCGGCGGTGGCGGCGTGCAGTCGGTCCTGAATGTTAAACCTGCTCTGACACAGCGACAGTAATGATAATGACCATGATTTTTATGGCGGTGGCATTAATAACAGATGAGAGCGGTGATTAAAAAAGTTGCAGGTACATAAATTATACAGACGGGAAAACGAAGAGAAACCAGCTTTGATTGGCGGGTGAGTTTTGTTTGTGATTTAAAACGTAAAGTGATGAAATCGCTTTGAACATGCTCACCTACGAGTACGAGATTTCATCATTTAACCAGGTGAACTAGGGGGACCATATTCTGAGGACACTACTACGCGGGGAGGAGTCACGCAAAATATTTAGGGTTTTTCTGGTCGGGTCAAGTGTTTTTTTATGCGTAAGTCCACGCTACACAAACTCAAAACTTCTGTACAAAACCCCTTTTTGGAAATTTCACATTTTTTTAACATATTTATATTAAATCTTTGTGAAAACAGACCAAAAACTCGCACATGTCTGCACACTCGTCTGCACATCTTTTTTCTTCAACCTGGGAATAAACATGAAACTATTTTTAAATCTGGATAATATCTGTCGCATAAATGACGCAACTTAAGTTTCAACTCCTCCAGTCAGCGGTTATAAAACAGGCCGTCATTGCTGGAATAAAACTGTAGCTGCCTGATGTGCACATTTGAAGAGCGTCCGCTGAAAATGTTGCCCTGATCATGAAAATTCACTTCCTCATACAGACTTAGTCTGTTTCGTTCATCGCCAAAAGTGATCGTTGCATAATGTTGTAAATTAGGAGCTTCCATCAGAGCTTTTCTACATGCGTAAATCTATAAAATCTGACGGATAATTCTAGATTTTTGTTATTTACCCTGATTAGAATTCTGAGAGACTGAACAGATGTTTAGTTTTACTTTAAAGTTTAATTTAAGCCGATTACGACTGCAGCTCTCCTATTGGAGGACACATGTAATGTGAGACCTGCAGGTTTTTCTTGGGTAAATAGTGCAGCTGTGGGTCTTTGAGAGCACCATAGTTTTTGACCGTGTTTACATCGGGTCTTGATTTCGTCATTATTATTTGTAAAAATTATCGTTTTATGGTGTTTGATTATGGAAATACGCGTCAACTACATGCTCTGGTACGTCACCTCAGAGGGTCTTCAATCATTAGATGGAGCTGCACTCACAGGGCGTCTGAACACGTGACCTGACAAGGGTGGACTCACCTAAAGATCCTGCCCCCAGAGGACACACTCTGAACTGCAGTTTGACGCCTCAATGTATGAGGTTGTTGAGTCCAGACTGAGTTTAAAGCAGACGCTGTGTGAGTGCAGCTTTAGCACTTACTGTGATAAAAAGAAGAAATGCTCGATTCTGAGTGTGAGGAATGTTTGAGAGGTGAACTGCCTGCCAGACAAAGCTGAGGGACGCAGGAATGCTTTTCAGCTTCAAGAGTGAATCAGCTTTTGGACAATAAGACATACCAGACCGAGGCTTTTGGTCGGTATAAGAGGAGATGTTTAGATGATAAGTCAGCCTTGGGTTTGTTTGTTTTGGTCACAGCTTCTGTTGACCCGTCCTTATCGAACCCGAACCTAAACCAGATCAGTTTCATGACATTTCTTCTCAGCCTTACTCTCCTCGATGTTCCCTCTGTCAGTCCACATGTGTCAAACATCAGCTGTCCGAGTTTAAACTGGGATTGAGACCAGTGATGAATCAGGATCAAAACCTGACTTTCGATCAGCTGGGTCCACCTGTCAGTCAACTCGGCCACGCCCCTAAGAATGAACACACATGTACCAAGATGGCAGGATACTGTTTCAGTAATAAACTCAGCTGAGCACAGGTGAGCACGTTTCAATCATCTCATCTTTGTTTCTGAACTTCAGAAAGATTTATCAGAACCTCTTCCTGAACTTCTGTCTCCTGGTTTTTGTGCGTACCGACAACAACACATGTCAATCTGACCTGAACCCTCACACAACTGCTAAGTTAAAGTAAATGTTTCCATGGAAACCTTGCTGTTATTCACCATTACTGCTGTCATTCCCAGCACAGCCATCCGATTTCCAAGGTAACTGGAACGCAGCATATGCCCCTGTGTAGAGAAAAATCAGTAAATCATGGTTAATCGCTCGTAAGATGCCACTTTGCTACCGTTGACGGAACGCCGCTTCCTGCTGTTGTTTGTTCATGAAACTTTAAAAAAAATATCCCACCGATGCTACCTCTAATCATGCTGCAGATATTTTTATTATTATTATTATTTTTTTAACAGAGTCCTTTGCTGTTGCAGCCAGCCCCTAGTGGTTGTCTGAGGAACTGCAGTTTGGTCACCTCTACGATTGTGTCGGATTTCAACACCTGCTGTACCTGCTGTGTTCAGACCGTATTCAGAGGTATGTAACTCGGGTTTACGTTGTGTTTGACTCTGAATTAATTTTATGCCGGAATATCCCTTTTAATTCATTTATGGTTAGATAGAAGACAAGAAGAGGAGGGCATATATGATCAGAGAGCAGAAAAACAAAGTTTCCCGAGGAACCATCCTGCCTAAAAAACGACTTGACTTGACAAAGACGAGCAGGGATCAGCTCAGTTGTCCCATCAAACAGCCGATATCACACAGCCTGAAGGTAAGATGGCACAGCAGTGATAGTTCACATCAAGGAGACAACTCTCTGCCTTTTAATTGGCTCCAGCAGGTCATCACCGCTCGGCTCTCATGAGTCTGTGGATAATATGCAAGACACATTTGGATTTAATTCTCCTGCAGCCCCCCTCCCTCATCTGATTCTGTGCCGGGGCCTGAAGAAGAAAAAGAAGAAGAAGAAGAAGGAAAAGAAGAAGAAGAGGGGGAGGAGGATGTTTAATTGAGAGGGAGAGTTGGTTGAAAAAAGCCGGCGAATGACTGGAGGTGACACATCCAGAACAAGAGTGTGGATTTAAAACATGAAAGGCAGGCGGACGGGGGAGGGCGGGGGAGGGAGGGAGGGGGAGGGCGACTGGGCCGACCCGTCAGATTGAAACACCCAGAGATGGAGAGTGACTCATCTGAGATAAAAGAGGGAGAGGAGGCTGCCGCTGCGACAGCTAATGAAGAACTCCTCTTCCTCACATCCAGCCTCATTGTTTATTGATGCCTTGCCCTGAGCTTCAGACCAGAGCAGACGATCGCTGCTTGCCCATCACGCCGTTTAGAGGCCTTTAGCATGAAAGCAATCATTTTTAAAGGTTTTTCCTACGCTCGACTTCAAAAGAGGCGTCAGTGGCCCCGGTGCTGGAGGAGCAGGACCCGCCGTGTGTCCCGAACGGAGGGGGCGATCCGTTTCTCAGCCGCTGTCACCGATACTCTCCTGCAGTTAAGATGCGAGAGACTTCACTGCAGCAAAGAGCCGCACTTTAGAACTAAACAAACATCCGCTGGATCGGCTGTGAAAGAGAGCAAATTAGGCCTGTCAGTTAGAGCCAAAGTGCTCCATAATCAACCAGAGGAGGAGAGAGAGCGGATAATGAGTTTTGGTTGAATTCATATGCAAATAAAACACTTTTACATCAAAAAACCTGGAACAAAGTGTTTGTGGTTTTATTTTACAGCTTTGACAGAAACGGTTCTTTCTGTATCGGCGTGAAATAATGAAAAACAAGCCAATTAAGATGGACGTCAAGGCCGAAAATCACAAGTTACAGCAGGAGGACATGTTATTGTGGTCCGGACTAAGACGACAGGTTTAATCCAGACTGTTTTTAGTTTTAGTAATACTGCTGAAAATCAAGGAATAAACCAACAAATTCAACTGAAAGTCAGCTGATCTTTTCCTTAAAGGTGTTGTAGTCAGGATCTGATGAAGTTCCAGTTTTTAGGAGAAATCTTGAATGTAAACTCTACCCCTCCCAAACAGTTTTCCCCTCAGCTCCTCCTCTCCCCTCAAGCCCCGCCCACAAACAGACGCTCCTGCTCGCTCGTATCGTTCCGATTAAATTCAGATATAATGCAGATAAATCCTTCAGATCATTACAAATGGGGCCCAGTCAAGGTGAAAGTCAAAAGCATTGGTGCTACTGTAGATGCCAACAGACTACCAGCAAACACAATGTTTGCAGGACTTCTACAACGAGGATAAAGTGACATAGTCCAGGACCCGAGGGAGGACAGTTTAGCGATGGCGCTACAACACGCTACAGCAGGTCCGTTTGACAAGAAACACCTCTGTTACAGACACTTGTCTTACTTCGTTAAAGCGGTTTACCAAGACCGTCTCTTACCAAGATCCCCAAGCGTCCCCCATCGTTTATGTTGACCCGGCTTTTTAGCTCTTGTCCGGTCTACCTCCGTTTTAAGCGCCCGTTATTCCTCCAGAGTCTCCGGTATTTACTTTGTTTTCTTGCTTGTGTCGGCAGTCGTGGCCAAAGGAGGATTCAGACGATTTTCCGAACTTTCTGGTTGGTTTCTACTGTCCGATATTGTAGCACGCTAACTTTGTTTGGGCTCCTGAACGACACGGGGGAGCAGCGTCTGCCTCACAACCAATCAGGTTAGAGGAGGTGGAGAACGGCTTTGTTTACAGTCAGAAAGAGCGGACCGCTCAATAATGTTCAAATGTTGACGACACAGACATAAGAGAACACAGAGATATCCTTATATTACCAAATAATCAATAACTAATAACTATTGACTGATATTAGAAGATTTTTTGTAAATACACCACAAAAAAGATGCTTCTTTAATTAAATCCTGCCTTCTCCACCTTTAAGGGTCTGTCTTCAACCTAATTGACTCTTTGTAATTGTTGGACATTAAAGGGATATTTCAGTATTTTTACATGTCAGCAGTCAGTTTGTCAGCCTGAACAAGCTGTGATAAGCTACGATCGGCAGCATGCTAGGCTACGGTTTTATGCAGATGACGCCACGTGGTTCAGCTAATTTTGAGAGGCACTGATCCGAACACTTGTCTCAGTTTGTTTTCACGACCCATTGAGTATTTCAGTCTGGATCTTTGGCGCCTTCATTGGACATCATAGACCCAACTGGCCAATCACGCTGCACAGGGCAGAACATGTACCTCTGTTGTGTCCCTCAGTCGTGCGATAAAAGCGTCTTTGTTGGACACTCTTTTTTTGCGCGGGTATTTTGTTGCTGCCATTTTTCGTCAGTCAACATATCACCTGAGTGGAGTAAATATTTCATAAGACTGAAGGCTGAGCATCACTCCGCCTGTCTATGCATCAGGAAAACAACACGAGAGAGCAGCAACTGTAATTTCATTTCTTTGGCCATGGTATTGATCCCAAAGCAAACAGCAGAGCGCCCAGGTTCCTGGAGGTATTCTTCCAGCGCCTGATTGTGCGCTCTGATTGCTGGATGACATTGCCGTGTGTTGCAGCAGTTTTCAGACTCCATTGTTTGATCCCCGCTGCGTCTCCGTGGAGCTCTCATTGAAATTAAAGAGACAGATGGTGTTTTTCACATAATGGTAATGTTAGAGTTAAACATCCGAGAGTGTTTGTACTGATGAAAGCGGGTCCGTGTGGGCCAGGGTCCTGAGAGGATGAACCCTAATTAGAAAGAGAAGGTTTAATGTGACCTCCACATCACCTTGGACCAGTTACAGCTCCGGTGTTTGATACCAGCAGCTGCACTTGGCCAATAAAATCGTCTGCAGCCTTATCCTCAAACTTATTTCTTCTTTAGAGTCATTTCAGTCAGCTGTCATTAAGTTATATACCATATGATTTTTTCATTAGCAGCAGGAGTCCAGCAGATGAGGCCCATGATCGCTGCCAGATCGTCTAAAAAGACCCGTATATGTAAATCTAGATCTGAAGGGACACCTATTTAGCACCTGGTTTGGTGTTATTTTAATGTAGCACACAGATGCAGCACAAAACCATCAAAAATCTGCTTCTGCATGTATAAAAAAAAAAGGTACATTTCTAACACAGGTAATGATTGTTGACAGGGGACGTCTTCAGAAACGACAGAGCCGAGGACAGACGGCAGGAACTCTGATGTCTAACCGAGTTCTGAGTTGAGTAAGGAGCGAGCAGAGACACTTTTTCAGACATATCTTTATACCCTGTAGGTAAAACTTGCACAGTGTCCCTTTAAACTCCCACTAAGCCTCCTGGCTCAAACTTTAAAAGCTGTAAAAATGTTCCTGTGCGAGCAGCGGTGCAGGATCCGGGGAGGTGGTGACGCTCTCAGTGCTCCACATCTCCGCCTCAGCAGAACCAGAGGCCATGGCTGTCCTACAGACCTGTTTACCATCCCGCTGTCCTCAGGATGACACCGACCCCCCTCCGCTCGGCTCAGCTCAGCTCAGCTCGGCTCAGTGTCTGCCATTGCCGCGGGGAGTCGGTGTCACCCATCCATCACCCCAGACAGCGGGCCCCGCAGGCGGCCATTCATCGCGTCCAATCAGCCTTTTTTTAGAGGAACCTGGTAATTAGCCGCAGAGACGATCCCTGTTTGTTGTTCTGTTTTTAACTTTGTCACCGCCTTGGAAATAACTGCTAAGGTGAACCGGGAACAAGTCAGGATCACTTTGACTTCTTTTTTTAGAGCTGAGCGAGAGATTTCACCTGAAGAGTCTCTGGATAAGAGGAGTAATTTTCTAAAAGCTGTTAGCCGTCAGATTAGATCGAAGTTTAAAGAAACTAATGAGGGAAAGTTTGAGAGACTCAGACGAAGACATCGTCTGTAAGTGAAGACAATTCTGTCTTTGGAAAGACAGGTGAGACTCAAAACATGAAGATTGTTTAATGAGCGATAAAAACATTCAGCATCTATCATATTTTCTACCTAAACTAGTTTAAAGTTCAGTTCACACATTTTAAAATGAACTAGTTCAGTTTATCCTTTATAATCCTACATTTGGGACTTAAGTTCATGGTTTTCAAATATGAACTAATTCAGTTTTTTTCTCCAGTACTTTTCTGTCAGCGTTTATTTGTCAAGATTTTTTACGGAGCCCATATAGAACCACAGACAGCAACTATTTTAGCCGTTTTAACACTGAAACTCCGTCAGATTAATCTTCATGTCCATTTTTAATCCTAATCTAACCAGATTTACAACAGAGAGGACAGTCCTCAGAATAACGGCGTTTCTCTGATGTTTAGTTCAGTCCTCATTAGTAGGAACGTTCATGTCTAGAGTATATTTTCATAAACGTGAGGAAAACCTGCTGTTTGACGGTTTTTAGACTCTTTATTAGGATCACAACAACAGGACTGTAGGCCTGATGATTTTAATACAAAACTGACCTGAAAAAATTCACATCAAATTTAATTTCAGTCAGACTAAAGAGGAACCAGAACAAAGACTGGAAATAACAAGAACAATAATGATATGATATTATGATATGATATCCGTTTAAGGTTTGTTAAAAACGTTGTCGATGTTCGGACTTGCTTCCTCAAAACAGGCGGACAAAGTTAAACGAAAAGGTTCGATTTTTACCGTCTGTGTCGGTGCCGACTTTTACATAAAACACTTAAATGCTCTGGTCAGCTAGTGCGACCTCCCTCGTCCTTCATGTTTACTGTTGTCATGACGACTGACATTTTTAGTGGAGCAATAGACAGGCTGCCTGCGGTTGCCAGATTTGGTGGCTTTCCACTAAATATGAAGGCCTGTTTATGGCGTGTGTTAGCTGAGGTTTCACCAGGAAGACACGGGACATCTGACACACGTGTGAACGGAGTTTAGAACGCCGCTCACAGACGCCAGAATGAGCGTGTTCAACACCAACGGGTTCATGCGCAAATAAAGAATGATGCTTTCATGTTCGCCCAAAACGAGTTCATGAACGATCGTTCATTGGACGCGTTCATGAGCAACACTGCTCCTCATGATACTAATCGTTCTGAATCTGAGGGTCTTTCAGGAGTGGAGGAAGTTTTTCTTACACTTATTTTTAGTAGTTTGAGGTGTTACCTGATCTTAGGTAACCCAGGGAGGTTCAAACTGCAGATTTATGTGTTCATTTCTGACTAATTGTAAGTTTGAACGGCTCAGTAATGAAGATCAAATCAGCGTGAAACTCAGAAACACAATCACAGGTTTTTACTGATTCAGAGCACTAACACTCCTGTTTCCTGGTGTTTCAGAAACGCAAACAACTTCCATTTTTATTGAGTCATAACAAGCTGTTGCATCAGTCTGCTCATCTGTATGGATGTGTGAGAGTGTGTGTGTCGGTGTGTGTGAAAGTGTGTGTGAAAGTGTGTGTGAAAGTGTGTGTGAGAGAGCATCTCGATGAGGAAACTGTTCCGTCTTTCTCTGTTTCCTGTTTTAAAAGCGCGGCTGTGAGGTAAATCTTTGCAGGGGGGAATTTCCTGCTGTTGGCATCATGTTATAACACACACACACACACACACACACACACACACACACACACACACACACACACACACACACACACACACACACACAGTCTCTGGGGTCTTTCCTCAGCACCCTCTGACTCTAAAGCTCTTTTCATGGTGGTGAAGTTGAGAGCGGCAGGGTGGAGGTTTGGTTCATCCTCCCGTGGAATTGGATTATTTCTGGATGAGGAGAACACCCCTCTTCCTCTCCCTCTTCCTCTCCCTCCTCCTCTTCTTCTTCTCCTTCCTCCCTGCAGAGACAGACACATGCAGCTCATCATGCAGAAACACCCCCGCTCTGCTGGTATCAGGACGCACGAACGAACGGAGAAACCGACACCGCTCCGTGTTTTTCAGGTAAACGTGCTCACAGGTAAAACAAAGAGGCCTGATGAGGTCTCCTCTGGTTTTTACTTTGATATCTTTGGGACGTTAAAACGTGACAGACCGACACAAGGATCAACAAAGTCATCGGGATTCATCCTGTGGGGACCACGAATATCTGCACCGAAGTGGAACCTCACTGAGTGTTGGTCACTGAGCGTTGGTCACTGAGTGTTGGTCACATGTGTTTCAGTGATTTTTGAGTCGTGTGTCACTAAAGTAGTTTATTAAATAAAACTCAATCTGACTGGTCCTCTGTGACACACAAAGACATTCGAGTTTTCTATAATAGATCCTTTTACTGACACGGAAACTCGAGGTGCATCTGTCTTAGTGAAGCGACTCCGACCTGAGTGTAAATGTCACAGCGCAGCTTTAATCCCAGGCCAGAAATTATCCTAACAAATGTCAGCATCAGCTAACCTTCACGCTGAGGAGGAACCGCCATCTGATCAATTATATTTACAGCCCGCTGACCTTTCCCATCATTTGTTTAAAGGACGACGCCGTTTGATTGGCCCTGATTGCTCCACTTCGGCCGGCTGTCGGGTGATGGAGACCATCGTCTTCACTTTGGGCTAAGAGACGAAGCAGCAGGTGGGAGTTCATGCGGTTCATCCGACGTGGAAACTTTTATCCACAGTGACGGTCTACCTCTATAAAGCAGCGTATAAAGATGATATTCATCAGGAGACGGAGGCCTATGGGAGCTTTAAATATTCATCCATTTATTCATTTCTCTTTCTTTAAGATGCAGCTCTCCCTCGTTTGACACGCCAGATAACTGATTTCCTGTCTTTAGTCTTCTGAGTGCGTCCCTGATGGATGTGTGTACACGCGGTTGGCAGCGTATGAGTTCAGAATCATGATGGATGGCGGGCTGAAGAGCAAAGAGCAGAAGACTGTGTACACCAGGACTCCGTACATCTCCATCCATCTACTGTTAATGCAGCAGCCGCAGCTCGGAGGCCCTGGGACACTTTGTTGACGTCCCAATGAATCCTGGGTGATTTATCATGTCGAGTCACAGAGTTCAGGTCCTCCATGTATGCCATACACAACTCCATCTTGATTATTCCTCTCTGTTGTTTTCTGCCCTTTCCCCTCTTAGATATTACATTATTGATGTCTCTCTTAATCCGCCTGATTGATTCCTCTTTAATATGAAAGGTCATCTGTTATGTTCTAAGAGCCGCTTCAGTTTTAAATCCACATGGTTCAAACGGTTGGAAACGATCTTTAACTGCCTTTTAACGAGATGCTGCAAAAGTAAACATCTGTGATATACATATGTACAAAAACGCTTTACTTCGGACCAATCAGGAGAGAGCTTTTTAGAAAGGAGTGCGTATTTCGACCATCATTTGTCCTTCGAAAGCTTCACCAGAAGCTAGTAGGTAACTATCGCTAAGTCTACGTCCAGTCTCTTTGGCCCTAGAGACTACGTTTGGTCTTGTTTTCCATGTGGGCCCCCAACGCCAGTCTTCTCCCAAGTCCAAACCCACATTAAACTCTCATTTTACACCTCATCTGAGAGGAAGTCCAACGAGCAAAGATCTGCACTCAAGGAAACGACACAAAACTGCCATAAAGTTCTTCAAGTCCAATCAGATGTTGTTAAACTATAAAAGAGAGCTAATGTCGGTGCTAACAGCTAGCCTCAGACACAGTCTCAGTACAGAGCTGTGTAAAAACTAACACCCACAAGCTGCCTGCCAGTAAGGAGGTGCAGTCGTCAGGAGCTGTGCTGTGTGCTCTGTCAGGTAGGGATGGGAGTTACTAGGGTGACCATATTCTGAATTCCCAAAAAGACGACACAACTACGTGGGGCAGAGTCGTGAAGTGGTGAGTCATAAATTTTGAGAGTTTTCCGGGTCGGGTCGAGTGTTTTTTAAGTGCTTCTAACTCGGTAAATTCACACGACACAAACTCTAAACTTTCCTGGACGTTTGAAGGATTTTATAAATCCCCCGGACAGGCGGACAGACCCTAAAAAAAAGGACATAAGGTCACCCTAGAATTACAAGGAGAGTTGAGTATCGTCTGCGTAGTAGTGATGTAAGATATGAAGCCATCCAGTCAAACTTGTATATCACAGTCTTATAAGTCGTCAGTATTTGCAGCAGCCACCATCTCTGAGCTTCAAAAATCTTCTGAAGAGAAACCGGTGAATCAGGTTTTGTTAGCTGATCTGTGATTCTCCCGTTCATTCAGTCTTCACTTCTTTCCTTCGATTAATATCTGCTTCTATTTTCTCCCTTTAACCGCTCGTACTGTCATTCAGTCCTCACTTCCAGATCTCTTTGTAAATAAATACGTGTCTTTGCCCTTTTTTTTTATGCTTCAGATCACAGAATTCCTTCGCTTAAAAAGGACTAACTTTTACTTCAGAGTGGTCGTACATATTCTCCACCAGAAAACGTCCCTTTCTTTCCTCCCAATGGTTAAATTTTTAGCTAGTCTCCTCCTCTGAGTACAAAGCATCAAAAATCCCCTTCAGTACAAACTGTACCATCCCTCAGCGGCAGGAACATCCTGATGTCAAGCAGAAGGACTCTGTAAGCGTTTATTAATGTGTGCATCAGTTCGAGCACAACACATGAATTATTTCTCTTCTGCAGATATTTGGATGAAAAGAGTTGGGCTGCAGTAAACATGTCGTCCCCCCTGTCTGGGCCAATCACTGACAAATATGACTTCTTGTTTTCGACTCGTGGCGGCGTCCCACTGGGCCAATCAGAGCCATTAGAATGCAGCAAAAAATGAGATGCATCAACTTCCTGAATCTGTCAAAGTCTCTGATGTCGAAGAGAAACCGCAGATCCTGTTCGTCCAACATGGAGCCTGAAGAAATCCTCGTTTATTTACTCAAACGAGGGAAAAAACCTGAAATGATTTCATCCTGTTTCAAATTTAAAACAACATTTTCCTCGACATCCCTAAAGGGAAGTGTCATCATCTGCAGACGGGCCTGAACAAGATTACCGCGCTGGAATGAAGAAAAATGAACGTGCTAATCCGTTCAGTGTCCCTGAGATATTGTGCACGACAGACGGACAAACACGGTTAAATTTGTTGTCTTTCAACCAATTTCATCATGACACCGAGAACCCGCAGAGGTTCTCCTGCAGCTTTCAGCCGGCGTCATGGTGGAGAGGCGGAGGACACGGGAACACGACGAGTGAGTGACAGACGGCAACAAACATCAGAGCGTCTTTGACCTTTGACAGCGAGCCGAAATGATCAGAGTGTGACTGATGGTCGAGATCGTAAACCTTTGAATGATCTCGATGTTTTATCTTCTATACAAACGATAAATTTAGCAACTTCTGAACTTTACACTTAAAACTCTGCTGGATCGCCGTTGATCCCACGTGACGCCATTAATATTGTTCACAGTTTCTCAGGAACTATACCGTGTATCTCTACGGGATGAAAAGTGTTCAAAAGTTTACCCTTTTGGCGATCTATCGAGGGTTTCCAGACATTTCTACACCTGCAACAAGGTTTACAATCCAGACACAAAAACAGGTGTTTGATCAGAGACGTTTGATGGTAAATCTGCAGTGATATACGGTGAAAACATGATTATTGATCAGATTGTTGTGATAAAAAAAAGATCACTATCGCTAAATTTCTGTCAAACTTTTGACCAATGACATGGTCTCATATTCTTCTTCTATTGTTCCCTTGACGGTAGTGTCCAATAAGAGACAAGAAAGTTCCCTGCTTGTCTGTAAAATAAGAAATAATGGTCCTCAATGTTTGGAAACAAGCAAAGAAGAGATTCTGAGCAGTATGATGTGGTCCTCTGTCTCCTCCCAGGAGTGGCAGAAACTGTAAATAGTCAAAAACTCCTGGAAGAATGAGTGTAAATATGTCAATAGTTTCTGTTGTGTGTTTGTTCCAATCCCAATATTTCTTCTCCTGATAGTCAAGACTTGAGAGAATGATGTTCAGGTGAGAAAAGGTTTGGTCACTGTAGTTTTATGTGTTTTCTGAACAAAGCTCTGTTGGGATTAACTTCTGTTTTTTTGTTTTCTGGTTGACTTTGACGGTTCTGAATCTACTGTCACATTTATTTTACATCATTTTTGCTCCGTAAACTGACAGTTGAGGTTGGCAGACCAGGCAGACCGAAAATAGCAAAATACAGCTTGGAGTTTTAAGGGTTAAAGTCCGAACAGAACCATCGGTGTAATGACACCGCCTGTCCAGAGAGGGCAGCACCAACATCTCATTTGTTTACACACTGAAGACTTTTAACACATGACCCCCCACAAAGTCATGGTTTGTAAAGAGGGGGTCTTCCTCTGAAATCCAAACTCACTTTTTATCAGAACTACATTTTCGCACCGACCGCCTCAAACTCACACCGTCAGCTTCTCTGTGAACGCAGGAAATCTGATTGGCTGGTGAAAAATCCTTTCCTTCACTTTTGCAAAGTTCTGCATCCCCAGTCTGCAGGATTGTAATCAAATCAGTGAGAATGAATGGGCCCTGGGAGAGTGTGTGTGTGTGTGTGTGTGTGTGTGTGTGTGTGTGTGTGTGTGTGTGTGTGTGTGTGTGTGTGTGTGTGTGTGTGTGTGTGTGTGTGTGTTTGAGGAGTCGTACTGCGCAGTTCGAAATGTCAGGGCTCGATTGATTTCTTCCCCCTCTGATTAATTCATGTTACGCTCTAATGTTCTGCACAGAAAATTGTTGAATGGCATTCAGCGAGATTAAAACCACAAACAGCGCTTTTCATAATTTGACAGGTGATTGGCGGGAGGCAGGCTCCTGGATGATTGCATCATTAGGGGATTTTTCCCCCCAAAGGGGAATTAAACACACCATCAGCCTTTTTTTAACATCCATGTGGGCCGACACAAACTCTGCCGCTCTGCCTGTCAGTCCACTTCATATCTGTCTCTGTCACTCTGAGAAAACACGCCGATCGTCATTAGATACACCTGTATTTAAATTAAAGGATCAATCTACAACCTTTAAGAACTTACCTTTAATAAACGACCCCTGCTAGTTATTATTTTCCTGCCAAAGTGAAATTAAATAATGATCTCCACACCCATCTGATGGATTTCTATCACTGTCCTCTTCTCCTTCTTCAGAAATAATTCAGGTTATCCTCGTTATTTACCAAAATTCTTTCTTAAAATCACTTTAATTAACAGACCTAATGTGGGAGCACATGACCCCCAACCTCCACCTTCATCCTGATCGTCTCCTAAAAGGCCGTATCCTCCGATCGTAGCTGATCGTAACCATTCAAGTTAACGTGTCAATTTACACCGACTTCTTTCCGTTCCTCTGCGGATCGCCGGACTCCTCAGCTGATCACAAGAGTTCTATTTTTTATGGACGCCGGAGCATGGCGGATAAATTCAGCACAGATTAACCCGTGCTGGAAAGGAAGTCGGGCACAGACGAACAACCTTGGGGAAGAACAAGTGAAAGGTTTTTTAGACGTCATTTCACCCCGATGACACCATGGATGAGGAGATGCTGATTCTAGAAGTCTAGAAGTAGATTTCCTCCTCTGGAAGGACACAATCTACTGCTTATATGTCTATGTGTCTGTCTTTATAGAGACAACTCGTAATCGCGCGATTGAACATGAATCCGCAGGTTTTAGATCTGGTAGGAATTGGCGGACAGCAAAACTCGCCGCCGTTCTGGATCAGAGCCGTTCCGGATGCGGTGAAAATTGGGGGTTACACACATGCTGGTCTGTTCGGCTCATAGACTGTATTTACTACGGACAGCTTGGCTCCGCCTCTCATCGTTATACTTATTTATAAAACGGAAAAGCTCTCGTTATTTCCTTGATTTTCTCCACTTCCTGTAACCACCACTTGCGCAGTAACATTGTACACATTTGGCGGGAGAGTCGCTGTGATGACGCTCGGCTCAAACAGCGTATCCCCTGAGTGAGCTACACAATCCCTGTCCTCCCATAGGCTGTATCAGGTGTCAATCATAGAAAACATGAACCCCCTAATAACTTTTAAAAATGGAGCTGTACAGAAAAAAGAGGACTTGAGCACAAACCAGTCTGACAGTAACTACATGTCAACATCACAACCAGGGGGGAGAAACATTTATATTCTGTGTCATTCATTTATAAAGTTTGTCCACAGCTCCATAAGGAGGCGGGGTTTAGGACCTATACTGCAGACCGTCACCAGAGGGCGCTGTTCTCAGCGTGGCTTCACCCAGCGAGGAGGCAGACGGCGTCTATTCTAGATACAGTCTATGATTTGGCCCAAAGAGACGCTGTACAGCACAGAAAAAATGAGAAAGCGCAAAATCCTGCAGTTCCTCAAGTGTCCACTAGAGGCTGGCTGCAGGTTTTGTGTCACCAACCAACATCGCTGCTGGAGTTTGAGCTCCACCAAAGCAGGTCTGCCTGATTTAACCCTATGGAGTCTGTGAGTCACTATTGGCCGTTTTTGACTACTTTAGATTTTACCTTTATATTTCCTCTTAAAACTTTTTACCTTGCCTTGCCTGGTATCATTTTTTTCAGCACAACCTCACCTGTGTGAATTTACATTTATTTTTTTTATCATTTTGACATACTGTATTTACACAATGGACCCAAATTCACACACAAAACATAAAATCCGAGTGGAAAAAAGTAAAATTTTTACTGTGAAAACCACAAATATGTGTGATGAACTGTTTTTAAAACTTAAACTTCAAATAAAAATTGTAAACTTCAAAACATATGCAAATTTTTAACAAAGAACATAGTAATTTACCTCTATTTACATCAAAATGCAGGCAATGGCCCAGGCGTTTTTTGTAAAATTATTTACAAAACACTGTATAGTCTCACAAATGTCACTTTTTATTTATGCCACTACAAAAAAACATGATGTAAATGATGCATGATGTAAAACATGATGTAAAAAACTTGTGTAGATCCTCCTCTATGTCAGTGTGTTTAACCTGATAACTCAGACAGAAGATTGTCATATTATCACCGCTTTGGTCTCAACACAGAACCAAATGTTCAAACCTGAGTGTTTTAGCGTAATAAACCCGACATTTTAAAGTGCTCTCAGTTCGATAAACCGAACAATAGTTCAAATGAAAGTCAGTCCAGACATCCTTCTGTGTGTCTCGCCCTGTTTGTTAGGAGCACGGTGTTCTGTTTGTGCCCAAAAGTGTATTTTTCTTCCAGTCAAACAGTGTCAAAAAGAAAAATCAATTCTGTGAACTCATTAAAGTTGACTGTGCATAAAAATGTGCAGCCGCTGCTTTCTTCAGACTGGAGCAGAAAATCAGACAGGTTCAACTGTTGGAGCTCCATCCATCATTTTTTAACTGTTTCCTCCAGCGTGGAAGTGGAAACAATAAAAAAGCTGATTGATGATCTTCGCGTGAATAAACAAGTCAACATGTTTGGCTGTGAGCGATTTATAATTTCAGGGAAACAAAAAAAAAGAGGCTGTAAATTCAAAAATGAAATAAAAAAAACCTGAGGAGGAGTTATCGCTCCACAAATAAACTCCTTTATTCCTCGTGTTTCGCTCCTCAAGTCGCAGGAACATGAAATATTCAGAGCCAAACTGTGATTGTGGAAACGCGATACGGCGATAATAACAACCTGCAGTTTGTAAACATCCGCTCAGGTATGGCGTTGAATCCACATCCACGCAGCGGCTCGTGTAATTCCTTATTTATCAGTTTGAATAAAAACGCGATAATGCGGCCCGACTGCAGCCGTCTTTGGGAAGTTGAATCATTCATGGTGGAAAAATTGCTCCTTTATGTGCAATAAATATTGATTTATGCCTCATGCATATCTTGATGTGGCGCAGCTCACCAAGCCCTCCTCATTGTCCATATTTTACCGCTTTGTTAGCCACTCCATCTCTTTCTCCCTCGGTGTGCTAACTTATCATTCTCGCTTCCCCAGGAATCACCTCGTCATATTTACAGCTCTCTCCCACAATCCTTCACTTCTTTTCGGATGGTTCGCATCTCGACGTGGGACGAGGACGTGGAAAATTCTCCCATCCGGCCTGGTGTGAACGCTTTTTTTGGTCAGTTTTGACCTTTTCTTCATCCTGAATGGTCTCTTGAGATCAAAATCTCTCTTTTGAGAGAGCGCGGCTGAAATGGCAGAATAATTATCTTCCACACACACACACACACACACACACAGAAGAGAGGGATGAAATGGAGCAAAAAAAAAGAGTATTAATAGGAACAAAAAAGCCTTCAGAACCTTTCAAAGCCGTTTATTTCCACTTAGATCGCGAGTTCACAGAAATATTCACCCTGCATGAACCCAAACTCACCTCTGCCTTCATAAAAAACAACCTTTTTTCATCTCATACTAAAACCTGGACCATGAAACGGTTCTTTGAAACCCTGACCTGGCCTGAGCTCACCTCGACTCTGTGACAACAGTCAAACTTCAGACTTATAGCAAACACAGATGAGGAGTTAATGTGGGAAAAGTTTACTTTATAAATACTGACTGTGATCAGCAATGTGCTCTTTTCCTGCCCATGTGTAGCTCCATCAGAACTCTAAAAGTCTGATATTTCCCCCAGCACTGTACTTTCTTATAAATCTGCTTGTTTTCGTACTCTGACGTTACTTCTCCTATAGGTGTAAAACTTTTTTAGGGTCTGCTCGTACTTTCAGGAGAAGAAGAAGAAGAAGAAGAGATACATAATTCCCAGATTTAATAAATCTCAGTTTTGATGACAGGCGGTCAGATCACAGTCACGTCATGTCAGGTACCTGCAGCATGAGAGCTGAGATGATGTTCATACACATACACTGTTTGACTTGAGCAGCAAACGAGGAGAAAGGAGGATCAGGACAAAAGAAAAAAGAGAAAAGGTGAGCATGTGTTTTTGTTTGTTTGTTGTACAGGGCTTGACTCTAACTTATTTCACAGTTGAAAAAGTAAGGAGCACACAAAGAAGAGCACACGCTGTGTGTCGAGAATTATTATTATTTTTTAATAAAGATAGACTTTCTTGACTGACAAAACAGTTTTCTAAAATAAAGAGAGTCTTTAAAATAGTGTCTGTATTTCCAGCTTGAGAACGCTCATCTCTCTCCTCCCTCTGGCGTTGTTTATGTTCGTTTTGTCGCGGCTGCCTCGTGTGTTCATGTGAGTGGTCCTCACCCTGAAAACGTGACTTGTGGCCTCCTTGACTGACGTCTCTCCTCCCAGACTAAAACAAATCGATCTTTTGTTTAAGGGAAACGAGAAAAAAGTAACGCACACAATGACTCGGACATCTAACTTAAATTTAGTTACAGACGTGCTAGGTTACTTGTTACTGAGAAAGTGGACATATCAGAGTAGTGCGCCGCTAAGTAATGTGTTACTGGCATCACTGTATGTACACTTGTGGTCAATCAATCAATCAATCAAACTTTATTTATATATCACCTTTCATGCTTTTAAGCAGCAACACAAAGTGCTTTACAAAAAGGTAAAAACAAACAACGTTAAAAAAAACAAAAAACAAACAACAGTAAATATAGGGCACTTAAGTAGGCATAAAACCCGTCCCTTCCCACCCACAGCAGCACATACAGGCATGCACAGCAGCCCACCCCACACACACATACACGCACACACGTATCCACACACCCACACAGTAACTGTCAGTAAAAACATGGCAAGGCACTGATGATTCTGGTAAGGAAAGACCACCTATGGGAGCCGTCCACACCGAGAGGAGCCACAGCCCACTCCCACAGGGAGCACCGCCCCCGAGACCCCCTGACCCAGACAGCCCGGGTGCACCCTGCACATAGTGCAGAGCCCCCTAACCGTCCGGACCTGGACGATCCCAAGGACCGCGCCCCCCGGGGGCGGACCAGACATACCTCCTAGTGTGGAGGGCCCCCACGAGGAAACTCTGGAGCTAAAAAGACTAAGAGATAGTAGGAATTAAAATAATATTAAAATATCTAAATGACGTAAAAATGTGATAAAAGTAAAGGATAAAATAAACTAAAACTAAATTAAAATAATGTTAGAATATCTGCATTTTCTCTTTGTGTTTACTTGGGGTCAAAATTATTCGCCCGCCTATGAAATTTTATTTTTTTTCCCCAAATTTCCCCAAATGCTGTTCAACAGATTAATGATTTTTTTACACAGCTTTTCCAAATATACTCTTTAATTTTTGTTTTTTGTGAAATAGTTTTGTTTCTGTGTGCAGACTAATGTCAGGATCCAAAATAAAACCAGGATGTAAAAAAATCATTAATCTGACTTGGGGAAATTTTGGGAAAAAAAACTCAAAATGTCATAGAGGGAGTGAATAATTTTGACCACAACTCCACGTATAAACCCAGCTGTGGAGCCTCTGTAATCTTTGCTCAGTCACGTCTGAAAGCAGACTGACTTCCTGCGGTTCTCACCTGTTCCTGTGTTTTACCTGAGCAGCTGAAAACTCTTCAGGTCTGCGGTGACGGAGGTGACGGAGGTGACGGAGCAGCTAAGCAGGACATCAGACCGTCAGCGTACCGCAGCTGCAGGCGTCGAGTCGTAGAGACAAACTGAACCCGAGGCGCCGTGTTGTCCGTTACCGTCGGCTCTCCTCCCAGGCGACCCGGCCTCCTGTAAACCCGCTGTCACGTTTATTTGCTCCTCTCGGCGACGGCGGCGGCGGGGGAGTTAGTCCTGGACTGGGGGAGGAGGGGGGAGGAGGGCTGCGAGCCAATGAGCCACGAAGAAGAGAATGATGGATCCCCGGCCCCGGCTCAAACGGGGCCTCTGTCACGGGGCTCGTGTGGTCATTAGAGCGAGCTCCAAACACGGGCAGAAGCAGGATGACAAATCACAACAAACTCCCAGCACGCCACCGCCGGCTCGCTCCCTCTCCGGATCTGTGAGTGAACCTACGCAGAGTGTCGGACAGTTTCTGCACAACTATGATTAAGCTGTCACCGCGGGGAGGCCGGTTTGTCAGCACTCGGGATCTCTGCGGCGATTTCTTTAGACAAGCCGGCCTTAATTGAGTATTCAGTCCCGGAGCGCTCCTGGTCGGTTTCACCCCGGCCCGTTCCCTGGAGGCTAAACAAACCGCAGCGCTCGCCGGCGGAGCTCTCCACAACAACATCAGGAACTGGCTCGCCACCAAAGCAGCAGAGTCAGGCTTGTTCTGTCGCTGAACGGCCATCTGTAAGACGTCCACGTTGTTGTTGTGCGAGTGGAGCAGGAGGGCGTTTAGCTGGAGAAGAGGAGGAGGAGGAGGAGGAGGAGGAGGAGGACAGGTACGGACGACTTTTGTTTTCGCAGCAGTTCAGCATCACTGCTTTCAAAAACTTTCCTGCAGCGTTCTCACAGACTTTCACGTCCCTGGAGGCCGCCGCCCGCTGTTCACTTGGCTGCAGTGGAGGTGCCAGCTGATTGGCCAACCAGAACTCTCAGACAAGCCAGCATTCACCTGTACTCCACTCTAGCTGCCCAATTACCCACAAGTCCGTGGGGTCCTTCATTACCCAGAGGCCCAAGGGCTCGGTGTGTGCCAATGTCCTAATGAGCGAAAGCAGAAAGACGTGTTCGTGTTCGTGTTCGTGTTGTTGGTGCAGCAGCAGCAGCACGGCGGCGGCGCGCCGACACTTCAGCCAGACCGGAGAAGTTTTCCTGAACACAGAAACCGGCGAAGAGCAGCAGCAGCAGCTAACAGGAACAAGAGCGGCGATGATGACTCTCATCAGGACTACCGACTCAATCTAGTGTCAGTCAGCCTGCGGGCGAATACGACCCAAATCTGCTGATTTCTCCTGAGAGCAGATCTGTTTTTAATAAAGACCGGAGACCATCTTTGATTGTGAGGATAGACGGAGGATTGAATTTCTTCAGCCGTGAGAGGAAACTTTCACCCACAAAACTAATAAATACTTGAGATTATTGAAAAGAGAATATTAACAGTAATTAAAGATGCTGTGAGACCCTGACGTGGTCTTTGTCAGCTGGAGCAGAAACAGGATCACTGAGTCATTTCTGAACCTGTTCTAACCTAAAGCAAACACAGAAGAACAGAGTTTTTGTCTCTAATTGGTCCTCGTTACAGATTTCCCTCGTTTAGATCAGCTCTGTTTACACTCTAACTTCAGCTCTGCTCCATATGTTTAACGTTTTTGACCCAAAAACAAACTCAAGTGACGCAACTTTGCTTCAGTCGGAGGAGCGGTGGTGTGGGAGTGGAGCAACGAGAACAACGAAACCGTCTCTACTACAACCTGTTCTCCACCGGTCATGACGGAGATGATCATATATGAGATATAACAGACTGTATATGAAAGAGACAGGAGCTCAGAGTTACCATGTTTGTGTTGGAGTCTACTGATTCTTTTTATAATGATTTGAATTATTCTGAAATGCTGAGGATGATGATTATTGTGAATGAACGATCATTTCTTTGCCGCTCACGTCCCTCCTCCTGTGATCAGGGAGTGACGACAGCTGGTTTCTTTTGAGGAGTGAAACAGTTTATCTACCACTGAATTAAGTTTTTATTTTGTTGTTATTTAAAGTCAACCAGGAGAATATTTTTGTTTATTTGCTTCAATAAATAATTAATAAATTCAAGATCCCTTTTTTCAGACTGAAATATCTCAGTGAGTGTTTATTATTTAGGGAGTTGTAGACCTCCTCCTCACAAACTACTCTGGGATGTTTCTTTCTTAAAGTCCAGAGTAGCCATAACAAACTGTATGAAATTATTCAATACAACAGTTCAGTACAATGTGATACTATAAGATATAATACGACTTAGTTTGATACAATACAGTAGGATACGACAAGATACGATCCAACACGATACAACATGTTATAATATGTTTTGATAAATATATGATTGGATACTTTATGATTCAATGTTATACCATGATATGGTAACACTTTACAATAACCATAACTTATAAATGGTAAATAGACCATTTATAAATGGTAAGCAGATAGTTTATTAATGTTTAATAATCATTAATAAATAGCATAAAGACCATTAATAGATTGTAAATTTTACACTTTTAAAAACCTAACTCTAACTTTACAATAACCATCTAAGTAAAGTTTATAAATGGTTTATAAACCAAATATTAACTATTTACAAAGTGCTGCTGACACATTTTAACCAAATGTTTTACAACCAATATTTAAACCCTATATAAAACCTCAGTAGTCACAGCTGCCCTGGGGTAGACTGACGGAAACATGGCTGCCATTTTGCACCTACGGCCTCTCCGACCACCACCACCCAACACTCACAATCACACACCAGTGGAGGACACACACTGGGAGCAAGGTGGGTTAAGTGTCTTGCCCAAGGACACAACGGACAGACTTGGGATAGGGGGGAATCGAACTGCCAACCTTCCGGTCATTGGACGACCGCTCTACCTCTGCAGTATTTATCAGGTTTTATGTAGTACAGGTATCACAGGTCATTCTTTCCTGCAGCTGTCAGACTCTAGAAAGTTCAGCGTGCAATAAACCAATAAACCAATAAACCAATAAAACAATAAACCACATCATTATTTATACTGTGTCCACATGTAAGTTTGACTCATGTACATATCTTTTCTCTTTTCTCTCTTTTTTTCTCTTTTTTCTAAATAGCTTCATACTTGAACTCCTCTTTGTACGTCTGTATGCTGCAGTAAATGATGAATTTCCTCCTGTGGGAAGATTTAAAGTTTTTTTTTTTTAACTCTAATGAATCTCCACCTTTAAGTTGTCAGCTTTGGGAATTATATAATTTTACAATAATATGTAAGATACTAAAAAAATGATGAATATGATGCATTAGATTAAATACAGTATTTACACAGTGACTGATACAGTAAACAGAAATGAGAGGATCCAGCCTGCATGAGTCTGTTAATGACAGACCTGATTTTCCTGTCTGTGGATGTGGACACAGTTTGAGACATTAATAACTCAGGTCATCATTAAACTGGTCTGATTTGGATAAATGTCCTTAAATGCTCCTGATGGTCTGAACTCTGCTGCCCACCTAAAACCCTGAGTGTTCCTGTACTTTAGAGGAGGAGGAAGATGAGGAGGAGGAGGACTGCTTCACAACACTAACTTGTTCTGGACCCTTTGAGTTCCCATTGTGGTAAAGAGGCTCCTGCCTACTCAGTGAAATCCTCCAAACTCAGACTGGATGTTGTTTTGGCTGAACTCTAATGAGCCGCGTCTCCTCCATGGAAACAGGTTCTTTAAAAACTTTGTAAACTCCGTCGAACACGAAGCTCGAACACGAAGCTGCGGTGAGTCAGAGGAGCTGGAGGAGCCGGCAGAGGTTTTGGAGGATGGAGGATTTGGGCGCTTGTTGCTGTTGTGATAAAGTTGAAAAAGAACAGATGCATGCTGGGAGAGTTTATCACAGCTGCAACCACACCATCTGTGTCATCGTACTCCTCACTGGGTGTTTTTCATTATTTATCCTGAATACTTGTTTCCTTTGTGGCCAGTAGACATCTGTTTCCTCGTCCTATCACACTCTCTCTCTCCTCTTCTTCTTCTTCTCCTCCTGAAAGTACGAGCAGACCGAAAAAGTTTCACACCTATAGGAAAAGTAACGTCAGCTTAACTTCTTTTATTTGGACTTTTTTTTGCAGGTTTAACTTCAGCTCAGAGTCTATAACTCGTGTCTGAACGTCTGCCGTCACGGGCTGATTTAACTTCTACATCAGGGAAACTCTGGACTCTGGACCCGGTCTTCAGCCCCGGCCCGCCCCGCCTGCCCGCGGTGTAGATCATCTGAACGGCCCAACAGTTCATTAATTGTTGGTGCTCAGATTTCTGCTGCTGCAGCTCACATCAGACGGAAACACGCCGCTCTGACCGATCCATCGGACCGCAGGACAGCGACCGCCCTGACCTCAGCTCTTCCTCCTCCTCCTCCTCCTCCTCGCCTCGGCCGCCTGTGTGTCAGTTAGTGTCTGCAGCCTGGCAGAGGAAGGAAGGAGTCAGCAGCGAGGGTGAATGAATGTGTTTTGGCACAAGGGGAGTCAATAGTCTTGATTTTACTCGATCAATCCTCTCCGGCACACCTCGCAGTCAAATTACCCCTGGACAAATTAAAAGCAGGAGTTTCCTTCTGCTGCAGAGGAAGAAAGAAATACTGGAGAAATTGTGAGGAAGCCGATAACCGAGGGAGACGAGGGAGGGAGGGAGGGAGGGAGGGAGGAGAGGGAGGAGGGGGGCGCTGTGTTCAAAGGATCTGGAGCTTCGCCTCGCTCACATTATCACCGCAGTACAAAGGGCCAAATATATTCAGTGGCTTTTCTGTGGCACAAAGCTGATTAGCCGAAGGTAGCCCCCATTGTGAGGAAAATCACTTCCACGGCTGTAAAGCAAGTGATTTCATATCCTTTTTTATTTAAGATTACACAGCAAGTGCCTAATCAGCTGATCCTTCATCATCAGCATTGTGCCCCTCCGTGTTTCCCCCTCACCTCCCTTCTCCCCCCGCCGACTGCTGCCTCACTGCCGGGCTTTGACGGCTGATGACCAGGGTTAGGAGAGAGCGCCGAAAGAGAGAGAGAGAGAGAGAGAGAGAGAGAGAGAGAGAGAGAGAGAAACACTCCCAGTGTAATCGCCTTAAACAGCTCCGGCTCCGTCTGTAGGAGCAGCGCTGGTTACTTCATCTGTTCTCATATCATATTAGAGCTGGTTCAGGGGTGGGTGGGGCGGCGTCATAGCTGAGGGGGGGTTAAGAGTGGTAATGAATCAATTATCAGAGACTATCAGAAGAGAGGGGGGAGGATAACCGCCTGACTGTCACCTGCTGCCTCAGCAGGTCTGGAGGCTCCAGAGTTTCACCACCGAGCAGAAGGTCTTCATGGTGTCTCCTGGAATAACTCACTTCTCTGTAAATATCTAAACGTGCTGATTCTTGAATTATTAAAGGGATATTCCGGCATAAAATTAATTTAGGGTCAAACAGTTAGACCCCTGCTTATATGTAGCCTGTGGTCTTTACTAAAGTTGGTATAACTAGAGACTCAAGCGGTCGACAACATCCATCTCTGGAGGGGGGGTCTAACTCTGAGTTACCGTGGGTTTGACCCTAAATTAATTTTGCGCTGGAATATCCCTTTAACTGTCAGACTAAAGTCTTGTTGTTATTTTTAAATGTCTTGAGGAGAGAAACGGTGACTTCAATGTTCTGGACTGAGCTGTAAAAGGAAAATGCAACACTTGAACGACTGTGACGAATTATCAAACCGATGCGACAGTATTTTGACCTCGTAGACCCCGAAGAATTAAAATCTGGGAACTGACAACAATATAGCTCAGAGTATTCCTGTTTCTACGGACTGTACCTTTAATAAATAAAGCAGGTCCATCTTCTGGTTCAGACCTCCTCTAACCTGTCTGCAGAAAGGTAACATAACAGCAGGTTCATAATGCTGTAAGTCTTAATAATTCATGGTGATATCTTAGCAGGACTCACATGTAGCTCTGATGGTTTTAATCCTTGAAAGGGTCGTAGATTAACCCGGGTTATAATTACTCAATCCATATTTCATGACTGACTATGAGGCGTTATGAGGAGCATGAGCGACGGTGAGGAGGGTTTCACTGTCTCACTTTAATATTGATGTCTCTGTATGACCTACTAAAGAAAACTGGACCACCAGGAAGAAGGCTGGTCTGCTGTCGGCTCATACAGGAATCTAGTACCATACCTAAACCAGCGCCCCCTGCTGGACAGTCGGTATAGTGGGTGGGTCACATGATCATAAAACTCCTGTTGGCCTTG